GGGGGGGGGGGGGTTCCAGTCATGACTGAATTCACTTTTTTTTCTTTTCTTTTCTTTTCTTTTCTTTTTCCAGTGCTGGGGATCCAACTTGGGCCTTTGCGCTTATGAGACAGAAGCCGGAACCACTGAGCTAAATCCCCAGCCCTGAATTCACTTCTTAGCAGATGTCTAGAGGACACTGACCTCCACTCTTTTGACTCTGCTTTTCCTGTATATTAGCTTCATTCATTCATTCATTCAGTATTTTCCAATCATTAGTAAGAATACCCACCAGGTTTATGTATACCTCTTTAGCAATCTCGACAGGAATAAAGTCACTCCAGTGTTTCAATGCTTATTTTCATGATTTACATAACTCAGGTCATATGTTCATTCCTTTTTTCTTCTTCGGGCCCTTGTGCTTGCGAGGCAGGTGGCGGAACCACTGAGCCAAATCCCCGGCCCTTCATTCCTAAACAATATATGACTCTGAGTCATAAGTTCATCCTTAGAATGAGGTTAGCCTAATCTGAATTAAATTATCCCTAAGAATAACCATTAGGGTGTTATCAGTTTGACTTCATGTAGAAAAATATCGAAAAGAATCTAAGGAGAAGGAAGAGGAATGGTTCAGGTCCCAGTAAAGATTCTGTTAATTATCCAGATACTATAATGGTAATTATGGTATCTTGTAAACCTGAAGATTTATGTGAGAATTCAAAAGTTTTATCTGATATAACACCTTAGCTTGAGTGATAAGAACACCATTCAAATAAATTGTTTTCTATTTCATCTTTAAAATCCTGTTTGATTGTTTAGCAGCTTTATCGAGGTATAATTCACATATCATAAACTCTACCCTTTTAAAAGGTAGAATTCAATAGTGTTTGGTATATTCGGAGTTGTGCACCCATCACCACAACCAATTTTGGAACATGTAAGGGGTTTTTGTGTACAAATTATATAGATTTTAGTACTGGTCTATAAAATGTAAGAAAGCCTTTATAGCTCAATAATAATTTGAAAGTCAGAATCTTTCTGGACCAAAAACCATCTCAAATTGCATATAATTGGTATCCAACATACATAATCTCACTTTCCTTGAAGCATTCTCTTACAACCAATTTGCAATACCTTTTATTTGCTTGTTTGTTTGTTTTTGGTACCAGGCATTGAACTCAGGTCCTTGTTCTCAAGAGGCAGGCAGAAGAACCACTGGGCTAAATTCCTGGCCCTTCCTACTGGCAGGCTTTTATGAAGGCTCCCAAAGACCAGCTGCAGCTAATGAGGATAAAAGTTAAACATGTGAGCAACAATTAACTGTGATGAAAGGCCACAGGCTTCTAGCAGTTTCAGAAGGACAGCTCATTCACAAGGGCATCTTTAATTAACATATGCTAACTCGTGCAATTTCTTCTTTTTGTATTCCTTTTGTATATTGTTCAAAATGTATACTCTAGGGCCAAGGATTTAGCTCAGTGGTTCTGCTGCCTGCCTCTCAAGCACAAGGACCCAGGTGGTGGTGCTGCTGTGGTGCCGCTGCCTGCCTCCCAAGTACCATTAAAAAAAAACAAACAAACAAACAAAAAAAAACTATACTCTTCTTTCTTGTCCTCATTCAATAACCTTTTTTATTTGTATACAATTTTTCTCTATTCATTTGCCTCATTTCCTTGCACTATCAAACATTGAAATTTTTAGTAAGTTTCTTCTACTTATTGCCCAAGTAACATTTTCATTTATTTATTTGTGCAGGATGACTATGTAAAAGGAAAATTATGGTATAATGAAAGATGCTTTGCTAACAGAGAACATTTTGAAGGTAAATTTTAATGAAAGATATACATTAGCAGGCCTTTATCAATATATCTATAACATACAGATTCAATAAAATGGCATGCAATAAAATAGAATAAAATGTAAAGATAAATTTCATATAAGTTAATGACCTAAAACTAAGAATAATCTAATTTTTGTTTTTGTTTTTGTTTTTGCACTGGGGATGAACTCAGGTCCTTGCACTTGCAAGGCAGGCAGCAGAACCACTGAGCCAAATTCCAGGCCCAAGTCTAATTTAAATTTGAGACAATAGACATATCTGCATAAGTACAAGAAGAGTATATTTGTATATACATTAATTGATGATATATAACATCTGTCATGTTTGTGGAGACTATTTTATTAACACTAACCACTTTTCTGGTTCTAAAAATATTGATGCCATTTATAATTTCTCTATCTTTATATTTTATAGTTGATTATGTTACTATCACCTTTGACAGAAACAAGACCCTAAGTGAGGTATGATATTTAATGTTATAAAAGGTAAAATGTTGTGTTATACATGGTTTCATGGACTGTTATAAAGCTAAAAATGGCAATTCTACACACTGAAAGTCTTAACAATCACCCTTAGCTCCCAGAAGTGTCTCTATTTACGTTTAATACCAGTTACTCAATTATGTTAAATCTAAACCTAGATAAATCATCCATACCAGCAAAAGATGGTTTGCAGTGTTTTCTGGATGCTTACCTCCAAACGATAGGTACAGATGTTAAAGATTTAAAAATATGATTTGTGGTCAGTAAGGACAACACAATAGCTCACTAGTTAATTTTCCAGTAATAACTAATGAGGACTTATATTTCAAGAACAACATTAACTTTTCATTTCTCTTTTTCTAGGCAAGCTCTTGTTTTTATAGTAAAGAACCATTTCTTGAGTGGTTACCTTGCTTACCTCACGTTTTTAATGATGTAAAAATCACACTTCCAAGTGAGATAACATTTCTTATTGACCAAGAGCACAATACGGGAATTTACCTCTTCCATGATCAGGTAGGTCTTATAACCAGAACTGATTACTCCTCACATTCTAATAATGTAGATTTACATTAGCTAAAATTATTTCCAAATTCCTGTTATCTTTGGCAGTAGAACCTGACAAAATTGGCCACAGCAAATTGTTTATGATTAATAATATAACTTGGCCACTTAAAAGTTTGTCACTTCTGATTGTCATTGTTTGGATGCAAACAGAAAGCATGATGCTGATTGTACAATAATTGTCCCTTGCTAATATTTCTCTAGGAGACTATAAGCTGAAACTTATTCATATAAATTTAATGTTCCATAAATTCAATGACTAGTTACAATGAACAAAAAAAAAAATAGGAACCCATTGCCATAGAACTATATTTTCTATTCTTAAGGTCCATAAAAAGAAGGTGATAATGTTTGTCCATGTAGCTATAGTATCTCACTCAGGGCCATAATTCTCCCCTGGAGAAGGGATTTGGGGTTGTTGTTGTTGTTGTTGTTTTATTTTATTCTCTTTTCTGGGAGCAAATCTACACTGAAAAGAAATCTATGGCAATCTCTTTTCCCAAGAGTTACAGATAAGGCAAGCTCTGAGAAAGCATGTGTACTGGATTGGCTAAATCTCAAGTCTTTAGCTTTAAAATGATATTTATGGCCCAGGGATTTAGCTCAGTGGTGCCACTGCCTGTCTAGCAAGATCAAGGACCCGAGTTCAATCCCCAGTACCAAAAATAATAATAATAAATAGAATAAAATTATCTTTATACCAAGGTGGCATGTTTGGAGATGTCATATTCTGATCCTTCGTGACAAAATTAGAATATGGCTGAAGCATCCACACTTTTGACATAATTGTTATGAGCATGAGGAATTGGAATCTGCTGCTGCGTTCAGTAATAACTATAATAAATGTCTGTGCCATTTATTATAAAACTTTGGAAAAATCATTTAGTCTCCTACACTTCATTTCAACATCTATAAAATGGGCAGGGGTCTGGGTAGGGGAGTACAGAGATATAAGTGATTGCTAATCCTCCTAGCTCTGTGCTATATTAGTAAGTGAGTCCCTAATTTTAACTAAAACCCAAGTAACAAGAAAGTCTAAATTTTGCAGCATGGACTAAGAAGAATTGAAAATTCTTATGACTTTCTCATGCTTTGCTTATCCAGCACAAGAAAGCTACCACTGCCTCTGTGAGCATCTTAAAAAACAACCAACCAAGCGTCACACCAAAATTTCCACCGTTTCATTTTCCTGCCTCGTTCTCTCACCCCATCGGAATGGTGTTTCATCCTCGAAGCCACTTTCTGTATGCTTATGGCAATCAGGTGTGTACACGTGAAATTTTACCCTCTTGTAGGGGGTTAATCATCTGCATACTCTCTGCTGAGTGTTTGTACATAAAGAACAGAGCTGCTTTAATAATTGGAAGGTGGAAGTGGGAGGGAAGACAATGGCAGTTTTTAACTTTTCAGTTAGTTTGATGGCTGATAAAAATAAGCTATGCAACACCAATTCCAAATTTTGCCAGTTGTAATACATATCTTCCCAACTGCAGATTTTGACAGAATTATGCTAAACTAATCAATGAACTAATGCCATGCACACTTAACCCCAATATCACATTCACTAGATCCAGCCAGCTCTGAAAGTCCCCACTGATGATTGTGCGAGGCTTTCGGGGAACCTCTAGATATAAACCATGACATCTGGATATAAACCATGACAATGAGGAATGCGCTTCATACTGTTCTGTGACCATGTTGCAGGCAACTATCTAAATGACATTGCTAGGCATACAGTTCTCCCAGTCTCCATCTCATGTGCTTTTCTCTGAATTTCCACAACTGTAGTAGATTGCGTTGACTTATTTAACACTTTTGTGTTCTTTTTTTTTTTCAAAGTGGCTACTTCATTGTCTTCTATTCTAGAATTCTTGGGGCCTATCAATTGAAAAATAATGGTTGAGCAAGGAATTACTGCTAATTTAATGGTTAAAAAGTATGTAGATCAGAAACACTGCTAGTATGTTGCATGTCTAAAAATTTCATTATGTGTGTTTTGGCTGTGGAAAATAAATAGAGTTGAATTTAAAAGACTCCAGAATTTATGTTAAGGCTAAGAAATAAGATGAATAGTTGAATGTCAGGAATAAGAAAAGCTTTTGTGGAAACACGAACAATAACTGAGACTGATATGAGTCTGGTAGAGCTGACAGTATTGGTCCATTTAGATGAGAACATAAAGTACAATATTTTGTGCATTTTGAAGGAAAATATGTCTCCAAAATCTAAGGTAATGTCACCATAAGCATGCTCAGGGGTTGGAAATAAATGATGCTGTTGTACTATTCTACCTGGCTTGTGGTCTGTGTTTAACTTCAGTGTTAACAACAACATAATTTTTAAAGAAATATAAGAATAATTATGTTGTGTTTTGATGAGAATTATTCAGTAGGGAGGGTTCGTTGGTACATGTCTGTAATCCAGTACTTAGGAGGCTTTTGAGGCAGGACTGCTGCAAATTCAAGGCCAGACTGAGCTACATAGTGAGTTCCAGGCCAGCCTGGACTATATAGCAAGACCCTGTCTCAAAAACAAAAGTTGATAGAACTTCAAGGAGAAATATATGGCTTGTTGCACCTGGAGACATCAACACCTCTCTATCAGAAATGGACAGCTATAGCAGGTGGAAAACCAATAGAACATATTGAATTCAGCACCATCATCAGTCAAACACATGTAATGACAGTTATAGACTACTTTATCCAATAACAGAAAAGTACAAATCCCTCTCAACCTTACATGGAGCATTCACCAAAATAGACCATATTGCCACATACCTACAACATAAAATTTTATGTCATTGTGGAATAATCTCCCTCCAATATAACAATATATCCAACTGTCTCAGTTACTTTTCTCTTGCTACTGAGAAAAAACACCCAACACCTAAAGTTAATGAAAGATTTATTTGGTTTACAGTTTGTAGAGGTGTAAATCCATAGTCAGCTAGCTCCAAGCCAGGGGGACAAACAAGCATCACAAAGGAGAGACACTTCATGGCGGGCAGAAGGTAGCAAAGCAACAAGGGAGGACCGCAGCTTTTTCTATCCCTTATGTCTTATCCAGGCTACATAGGGTGGGTAGCACTCATACCCTACTCCTAGTGCCCTTGATCCTAGCATGCATCATGAATTAATTCCATCATGGCACACTAGATCCAGCCACCTCTGAAAAACCCCACCTATGACTGCATGATACTTTGGGAGGATATCTAGACACAAACCACAACACCAACATTCCATTCTTTTATGAACAATGGCGCTCCATTTTTGGAATGATGGAAATAACTTTGTTCTTTTATACATTCACCAGGCATACTGGACATACCTAATACTTGGCCCACAAACACTACAACAGACTCTCGAATGGAAATACTATAGAGGGTAGACCAAACAGGCAAGGAGTCTGTGCACTTGTATGTATGTATATGATTAATAGATATGGAGGGTACAGGAAAGATCATTCCACATGATTGTTCTTCTGTAAGATTAGGCCGATAGGTAATTACTCTCCATGAGAGCTCTTTAGGGAAATACAATATCTTTATTCCCTTAGGTGTGGCTTTCAATGGATGGTGGCAACACTTTTAAATTAGTAGCTGATTTTCATGACGATATAATAAAGAAGATTTATCATTGTTTTTATACTTCAGACATTACTTTTGTTTCCCAAAGTGGAAAGGTTTACTTGACAAAGGCAGGTAAGCAATTCATTTTTATTGATGTAAGCACTGCAAGACTAGTGATTAGAAGACATACAAAATCAATTAATCCTATGGCCTCAAACCTATGAAGGGTGGTGGATTTGTAAGATTGACAAAATGGGATCCTATGAATAGCCTGAAGAAGGGGAACTGTGGTTTCACCACACTACATTCTTGTTCACAAATTCAGCTCTGTTTTACTTTTATAAAACCCAAATAATAATAGATGCTACTTATCAAGTTACAATTGTGCTCAGCCTATTACAAATATCACCTCATTTAATATTCACAACAATCTTTGCCAAAGTAGGTAATGTTAACTTACTTTTGCTGATTAAATAGATACAACTAATTCACTGATTCTCATGTCTACTTTAGTGCCAGTGCCATGTTGTTTTTATCACTGTAGCTTTGTAGTATAATTTGAAATCCAGGATTACGGTGCCTCCCATTCTCTTTTAGTTGACTAAAATTTATTTTGCTATAAATTATACACACATACAAAAGAGTATAGTATGATATTTTGCTCTCCATCTTCTTGATTGGGTAATCTTGGGACTTTTGTTGGTCATATTTACAAAACTCCTATCAGTTTGTTGGCACAACAGCTAATATGCGCTGGCCTCACTGACAACTGTTCACTTTTTTCCATTTCAGTCCTTTTGTTTACCAGTCTAGAAGCCAAGAATAATAAAGGGACAAGGTTCTTAATTCAATTTCTGTAGCTCTGTGATCTGCACTGCCATTTTATTTTGTCATTCTGTTGTTACGGCTCTGCAATTTTGCTGTGTTGATTTAAGAATTTATTAAGGCTTTTATGCAAACTATGAGGAAAGTTTTACCTCCTATCATGAGATATGCTGTGTCTTATCTGGATTCTTTCTGTATTTTTTACATTGTGTGAATCCTTTCCTTACATCCCCACTTACTTTCCCTACCCCAGCACCTCCTTTTTAATTACTTCCCCTCCACTTCTCTTTTTAAAAATATTTCATTAGTACATGTTTGCAATACATAATGTTCACATTCATCTTGTGGGACTGATATATGTACTAACATATCTTAATTCTTTTTATTCCTCTTCTCCTCCCCTCCTACACTTCTCCCTTTATCTCTGAATCCCTTTCCTATTCCAAAAAAAAAAAAAAAAAAAAAAAAAAAAAAAAAGATCTACCTCCCTGTTTCCTATTACAGTGGTACCTCAGTTCACGAACTTGATTATTTCCATGATTCTGGTTGCAAATCAAGTTGGATGAAAACTGAATCAAATTCAGTGGTTAAGTTCAACATTGACCTTATAGGGAAATTTGATTTGGTTATCATCCAATTTAATTCGTGGCCAGAATCATGAAGAGAATTGAGTTCATGCACCAAGGTACCACTGTATCTATCTTTTATTTTGTTTTTTTAATTATTTATACTTTGAGGTTCTCATGTAAGATAAGTAATGCAATATTTACATTTGTATGTCTGATTTATTTCATTTAACATTATGGTCTCGAGATGCATTCATTTTCCTAAAAATGACTCAAATTTATCCTTCTTTACAGCAGAATAGTACTCAATTATATGAAAATACTATATTTTCTTCATTCATTTGTTGATAATCTGCTCCCAAGTGTTAGCTATTATGATTTGTACTGCTATAAACATGGGTATGCATATATTACTGTATATAATGTCTTTAACCCTGCTATCAAGAAGGAGAATAGCTAGGCAGAATAGAATTCCTATTTTCAGTTTTTTGTGAAATCTCTATAGTAATTCCATAGTGGTTGTATCAATCTACATTCCCATTAACAAAGCAGAAGTGTCCCTTTTTCCTCACAACCTTGCTACCATTGCTATTATTTGTTTTTTTGATGATGGTCATTCTTTCTGGAGTAAGACAGAATCTGGATATTGTTTTACTTTGTATTTCTCTGATGGCAGTAGAAGTTGAACATTTTAATGTATTTATTGTTGTGGGGTTTTGTTTCTTTGTTTGTTTGGTTGGTTGGTTTTTTTTGTACCAGGGATCAAACTCGGACTCTTGCCTTGCGAGTTAGGTGGTGAAACCACTGAGCCAAATCCCCGGCCCACTTTGCAAATTTTTTTTGGTACCAGGGATCAACTCAGGTCTTTGCGCTAGTGAGACACGCAGTGGAACCACTGAGCTAAATCTCTGGCCCCTTGGTCATTTTAACTTCTTCTGAAAATGGTCTGCTCATTTCAGTTGCTTTTTTTTTTTTTT